GCTGTTTAATATTTATGTGGCACTTTTGACACATTGGTTGGAGATGCTCTTAGAAGTTATTTTACAAAAAATTAAATTTGTATTTAAAATTTAAGAATAAAATAAATAAGAAAATAGGACAGAAAGTGAAAATAGCAGCACTCTTCTAATTTAGTGAACCAATATTTTCCTTCCTGGCACCACTCCACTACACATGCTTGGTCCATTATATATATATATTCTTTTACAAGAGACTTTCTCTAAAAATAAGCAATATTTTATCGTATGAAAATGAAATAATGCCCCCGTATTACAAGATGAAGAGACAATTGGGTTCATTTAATGCAGAGGGAGCGGGATGATATAGAGCGATGAGGTTTTCTTTGAAAGATAAGAAAATTGCAATAAATTTGCATGAAAACATTGAACTTCAAATCGTAGAAAGTGACACCTTCCAATTGTTATGTTATTCACAAGTTACGCCATCAAACCTATTATATCTATACAGGGCTCATTTGGTGATTAGTATTGGATTGGATATTCTCTATATTTAAAGCATAATTAAGGAAGAAGTGAATTTTTTTTTAAAACTAAGTTGAAGGTAGAAGATGGATTACTTATGAAGAAAACTTATAACTAATCCCCCTAACGTGGGAAGTCATTCACTTCTACCTTCATTTCCTCCTTCAATATACCTTAAATTTGGTGACTTATCCAATCCAATCCTAAGCACCAAACTAACCCTAAATAGACACTACAGAATGTACTAGAGATCATCCGTAAAGAATCTTATTGAACAATTGAAGGCTTTTGAATGTAGAAAAACGATCAAATATGCATCAAATCAAAGAAGAAAATAGAGAATCTTAAGTGTGTGGTCTTCAAGCTAGCTTTTGAATGTAGAAAAATGATCAAATATGCATCCAATCAAAGAAGAAAATAGAGAATCTTATGTGTGGTTTTCGAACTATAAAGTTCTCAGCTATTTAATCATATTGGAGTAAATACAATTCCACTATCATATTATCGGTTACACTCGTATTTCATCTATTCTATAACCAGAGAGGCCACATTTAGAACGTGAAAATAGAGGGTTTTTTTACTTCCTTAGGTAGCAATCTACATACAAAATAACATCACATTTTGGGCAACCCTACCTTTGTATGGAAAGGAACATCACTCAACCAGTTAATAAAGTAGGACCCCAGAAAACTAAACAAGTAAAAAGAACCCTGTTAATGAGGTGCATGTTTCTTTTCTTTGCATAAATTTGCTTTGCTAAGCAAACTAGTGTATCATTCTCAGGCACAAAAAGGTCAATTTACAGAGCATGTGAGGTGTTGCTTCCAAATCAAAATACAAATGTTGTAGCTATAGTGAGCAGTGAGTGGGCATTAAATAAATTTGACACTGTTCTTTTTCTTATTAATTACTTTAAAAAATTTATTTAAGAGTTGAAATCTATACACATGATTGTCTAAAATAAAATTCCATTCCTGCCTTGCTGGAGTTGTAGCTTGCCAAAAGCTCTTAAGCCGCGGGGGTTGGTGTGTGGTTGGTAACAGCCCACTAGTTTTTTTTTTTAATTGGAAAAAAAAAAACCACTTCTTTGAATAAACAAATTGTATTATTATATTTCAAAAACCATTGACAATTAATCATTACTTGAAGGTGCACTCACACCCACCGCCACCCTACAAAAGTTGCGGAAAGGAAAATGTCCACATCTCCGGGGTTGGTATTGGTTGAATTGACCAAGTTGCCCATCACCAACCCACAGAATCTCCATCTTCTTCTCTAAAACCCTAAACTTTTTCTCTTTTTTTCTAAACCAAATAAAACCAATATCTCCTAACACCCACCAACTTGACATGGTGACAACATCATTTCGTCCCTTCCTTGACGAAAGAATTTTCTTCTTTTACTTTCTCAATGAATCAATTTATTAATAAAGGATTATCACTAATTAAGTTATACGAACTACAGCTATGTCCCTCACCAACTACTACGGCATACTTTTCTCAAAATTAGGTTAAGAGAGTTTAATGATATGTATTAAGGAGTTATAATAGTATTTCAGTTACAATAGTTAATCCTATTAATGATAGGAAATGGTCAGTTGCCAGTTACGTTTTTATTAGGCCATAACTCCATATTTATGTTTATAATAATAGTTTGTTGTAACTGTAGATTGTTTTCTACAGACTTCTATATATATATATATATTGTATGATGTCAAACGTAACTATAATTCTCATCCAGCCAAATTTTGTCAATGACTATTTAGCCTTGTAAGGCATTTGACCATAAATAAGAATAAAAAAGAGATGAGTAATAGTATGTAGAGATAAAAAAAACATAAAGCATTTGATTTTCTTTTTCTTTTTTTTTTAGGACTTTTATTTATTGAGAAGGGCGATAACATACTAAACTTAGACACACTACACAGATACTAGGACTCAAACCTAGAGCTTTTCATGTAGGAGCAAATGCTCCAAACCACTACACTAGTGGGTCATTTGCCTTAAATCTTTGATGCTTTAGAAAATGAGAAACATAAATTAGGGTTCATGGACTTAAGAAAATGTTATGTTTTATTGTTTTTTTTTTAACAATTAAATTATATTCTAAAGAAAATATTATGTTTTGCACACATGGCACTTATGTGACATATCATGTAGTAAAATAGTGGGTCCCACTCGTGCCATGTCAGCATTTTAATAGATTATTTGACAACTTATCGGTGAGGAGTAAAGTGAGACGCCAAACATCAGTCAATGGGGCAATGTGTGTCACTTTAACTTCCAAGAGCACTGATGTAAATAAGCCTATATATATATATATATCAGTTATTCTCTTATCCGGATGTCTGTACGTTATTATCGTGTGGATGCTATTGTAAATAGGTAGGAAAACAGGGAGGGGTAGTACAAAATACATGGCGTCCGCACGATAATAACGTCCGGATGTCCGCATAAGAGAATTTCTATATATATATATATATTATTTCTAGTGAGTTTGACTATATATCTTGTTTATAAAAAAATTTTATAAACCAACTATAAAACTACATATATGTATACATGTACAATTTACATATAGATCTAAAGCAATGTGACATTCCTTGGCGATCCCATATCGTAATTAAAAATATTCACCAGTTAGTTGTTTTTGTGTGTGGATATTCGCTCATGTTTATACCATACCTTACCAGACCCTCTCACCTAAACACGTTGAATAAATGACCCACTAAGCAGAAAACCACATGGTCTAGCCCAATTGCTAGAAATCATAACTACTATAGGTAGGGGTGAGCCTTCCACAACCTCACATGCCGATCCGGCTCAACGAAGGCACATATCGTGCCACTTTCATGTCCTGTCGTGCCACTTTCATGTTAGGACATGTCATGGCCCTTTGGGCGATGCCCAAAGTCACACATCAAAACTACAACACAAGGTGCTCTACCCTAATTGTTTATAAATATGGCTCTTGTTCCAATGCACTAGGTAATAGTAACTTGGCACTAGAATCCTTACTCTGCCCAATTACTTAATATTCTCCATAATTCAGCTAACTTAAGTATCGGAAAGCCTTTGGCCGGTACCACACCGATGCCTAAAATTTCACCATTTTTCTGCTCCTCTTTGTAGATCCACATAATATCCTCCATATATGACATAAGGCCCAAGCGACCGAAGGCTGATTATCTCTAAGTTGGGTCCATTAGTGATCATCCTTTCCTTTTTGGTGAAGTAATCATCAATTTTTAGACATCAACAACTCATTATGTTTTCAAAGATTTTTTTTTTTTTTTTGCCAAATGTTTTCAAAGAAGTTAATTTCATGGTTGATGTTTTAACTTCATTTGGTCATTATTTTGAGCCTTTATTTAGAAAAAAGAAAAAGATTTGGTGAGAAAGACAATTAAAAAAAGGGAGTTTCACTAAAATACCCAAAATGGGGGCTGAAATTATAAAAATACCCAACACCCAAAACACTTTATAAACATACCCAAAACTCATCATTACACACACTCAAAACCCATTTATAAACATACCCAAAACCCATCATTACACACATACCCAAAACCCATTTTGGGTATGTTTCTATGTTTAAATAGTGCTTGGGTATTTTTATAAATACATGTCTAGGATTGGGTATTTTTATAAATATCTATTAAAAAAATGGGTTTATTAACTCAAATGGTCCCTAAATTTATAAACGATTTGCATTTTGGTTCCTTAACTAAATTACTCGTTCAAATGGTCCACATACTCTTTATTATTCGAGGAATTGGTCCCACCGTTGCATTTTGTCAATGTTGTCGTCAAATGTAGGGTTAAAATCGTCCACTTTTCTCTAGCTTCTTCCTCATCTTCCCCAAATTGAAAATCTAAGTGCATAGAGGAAGAGATCCAAATTGAAACCCTCATTGTCCCTCTTTAAAACTATGCTCAATCCATCCATAGTCTCTTAAAAACCGATTCTTTCTCGTTGAAACCTACCTCACCACCAGTATTCATTAGTTCGATCTCACAGCAACAAAAGCAAGAGAAAAGCCACCCTGAATGGAGCTGACGCTGTCGTTGTCAAACCCAAAACTGGGTTGTGTTTCAATTGGAGAGAGAGAGAGGGAAGGGGCTGGATACGTTTCTTTTCTTAAGATCTTTTTTAATTTTTATGTTATTTTAAATGATTTTTTAGAGAAGGTTATTTTATCATATAATGAATTTTAAGTTTTTTTTAAAATGAGCTATGAAAAAGATGCATATACCCTTCTTGTACCCCTCACGTGTCATTCACATGACTAAACTCAAAGAAAATGTAACTGTGGGACTAATTTGCCAAATAATATAGAGTATGTGTTTCATTTGAACAAATAATTTTATTAAGGGACTAAAATGCAATTCGTGTATAAGTTTAGAGACTATTCGAATAAAAGTAACTCAGCCTCAAAGTGTGTGCATATATAGTAAAAGTAACAAAAAAACAAACAAACAAAAAATGCAGACTGATCAAGCCACTCCACAATCCACATCTGACACCAACCACAGAAAAATCACAAAAAGGCCAAAATGGTAATTTCATAATATTCAACTCCTATAAACCTCAGTTGTCAGTTTGCCACCACCACACCAGACCACACCACACCACCCATCTCTATCCTCTTCCTCTACTTTCATCACCATCTTCTTCGTCTTCTCCGATCTCTGCCAATGGAACCAGTGAACGACTGGGGCAACTCTCCCCTGGTGACCGTGGACCCAGAGATCCACGATCTCATCGAGAAGGAGAAACGCCGCCAATGCCGAGGGATCGAGCTCATTGCCTCCGAAAACTTCACTTCCTTCGCTGTCATAGAGGCTCTGGGCAGTGCCTTAACCAACAAGTACTCTGAGGGCATGCCCGGCAATCGCTACTACGGCGGCAACGAGTTCATCGACGAGATCGAGAACCTCTGCCGATCACGTGCCCTCCAGGCCTTCCACCTCGACGCCGCCAAATGGGGCGTCAACGTGCAGCCATACTCCGGTTCTCCGGCCAACTTCGCCGCCTACACGGCGGTGCTCCAGCCCCATGACCGCATCATGGGATTGGACCTTCCCTCCGGCGGCCACCTCACCCATGGCTACTACACTTCTGGCGGGAAGAAGATCTCCGCGACCTCGATTTACTTCGAGAGTCTGCCTTACAAGGTCAATTCCACAACTGGGTTCATTGATTATGACAAGTTGGAGGAGAAGGCCTTGGATTTCAGGCCCAGGTTGATCATTTGCGGTGGGAGTGCGTACCCGAGAGACTGGGATTATGCAAGGTTTCGCGCTGTTGCGGATAAGTGTGGTGCGCTTTTGCTCTGTGACATGGCTCACATTAGTGGCCTTGTTGCTGCTCAGGTATGTGCCTTTTGTGGTCTTTGTTGGTGGGATTTGGATATTTTGATTGATTGGATTTGCTTTGCGTGTTGTTAGATCTGATGGGTTTTGCCTAATTTTTATATTCTATGAATTGGATTTGTGTAGTTTACTTGATTTGGTTTAGCAGATCTGGTTTTGACTTCCGGTTATGATCTATATTCACTCCCATTTGTTCAGAAGATCCACTTTAAATGTCTTGTGATATTTTTGATGTACTTCTCAATGCTTTCACTATGTATTTGTGATTCTGTGTAGATCTTGATCTTTGAAACTTTGAAATTCTTTTTCTTCTTTTTTGTTTGTAGCTTATAGAGTTTCATTGTATTTTTAGTGCAAGGGCACAGTTATGTTTTTTGCTTTGAGAATTTGATCCTATCATTATTCACATGCAATGTCATGCAGGTTCGGATCAACACTTGAGCCATCACTAGGATGCAAATAGAAATGGATGTAAATTGTAAAATGTGTTCTTGAGGGGATGAAAATGGAAAACTAATTTTCTTTTAGTTAATTAAATATGAAGTAGATCTGCACTGCACGTTTAGTTTTGGTTTTGCTTGTTTTCAAAATTTATGGATCTGCTATGGCAGGGCTGGTAATGGATTATGACTTGTGTCGTTTTCTTATATCTGTTTTTCTTTTTTCTCATTTTTAATAATAGATTAAAATCTCATAAATGGTTCAAAATAAGATCTATAGGAGGGCTAAATTTCATTTTCAACTGTAAATTGCATTGGGGTTATTTTTGTGCTTTTCACCTAAAGGGTGCAACCTTGTTTGGATTATTGAATTGCTGGCATTGCTGTCCTCATAATAGATTGCCTCTTCTTACTCTGTTTTTCTTTTCCTCTTTATTTGGATATAGGAAGCTGCAAATCCCTTTGAGTACTGTGACATTGTCACAACCACAACCCACAAGAGCTTGAGGGGTCCTAGGGCTGGTATGATCTTCTACAGGAAGGGACCTAAACCACCCAAGAAGGGCCAACCCGAGGATGCAGTCTACGACTTTGAAGACAAGATCAACTTTGCTGTTTTCCCCTCCCTTCAGGGTGGTCCTCATAATCACCAGATTGGTGCCCTAGCTGTTGCTCTTAAGCAGGCCATGTCACCAGGGTTCAAGACCTATGCTAAACAAGTCAAGGCCAATGCTGTTGCCCTTGGAAACTACCTGATAAGCAAGGATTACAACCTTGTCACAGGAGGAACAGAGAACCACCTTGTTCTGTGGGATCTCAGGCCACTTGGGTTGACTGGTAAAGTGTTGAACTTTTTCCATCTATAAACGTGATGATCACACAGATGTTGCTGTTGTTTTTGTTTTCCTTGTGATACAATTCTAACTCCTTGATGATGTTCTTCAGGCAATAAGGTTGAGAAGCTTTGTGACCTATGCAACATTACCGTGAACAAGAATGCTGTTTTTGGTGACAGCAGCGCCTTGTCTCCTGGAGGAGTAAGAATTGGTAAGAACTGCTATACGAATTGGCTTTTCCGTTGTGGATAAGAATTATAATGTATTTGATAGAAAACAAAGTTCTGCATAGAATGAAGTACCACTGTTTACTTATTGACCATAGTAGTGCTGTATTCAACAATCTATTAATTGGCCGTGGATGTTTGAAAACAGGTGCTCCGGCCATGACTTCAAGAGGTTTGGTTGAGAAGGACTTCGAGAAGATCGGGGAGTTCCTTCACAGGGCTGTAAGTCTCACCTTGAAAATCCAGAAGGAGCATGGGAAACTACTGAAGGACTTCAACAAGGGTTTGGTGAACAACAAGGACATTGAAGAACTCAAGGCTGATGTTGAAAAGTTCTCAGCCTCATTTGAGATGCCCGGTTTCGTCATGTCCGAAATGAAGTACAAGGATTAGGCTTAGGTAACCAATATTTTTATAATTTTCACAAATATTTCTGGGTGTCACCTCACTTTGTGTTGATCAGAAAAGGAAAGGAGAAAAAAGCCTCGTCTTGTTTTCATGTCATAGATCAGCTGTTTGTTTTTGGTTTTTCCCAATATCCTTTTACAAGTTTCGATGTAATGTGTTACGAGTTTGAGATAAAATCCTCTCAGTAACTAAATGCGTTACTTCTGTATTCTCTTGTTCATCTACAAATAAACAATGAATTCTTATTTTATTAAATTTTTGGGTAGTGAAAGATGAGCTGATGGTTTTGTGTACTTTATTTTCATGTAATTAACTGTCTGTTTTCTCCAATTTTCATTAAATTTCTGCAATTCACAAAATCGAATTGTTGAACTCATCTGTCGATATTCACAAGTGATATTATTGCCAGTTCCAAACTTTTCACTGAAGATCACGGGCTTTTTCCACCCACCGCCTAAAAATAAAAGAAAATTGAATTATTTAATTACCCACTATGTTCCAGAATACCCTGCTTGTCTCGACCAATGCATTCTCGAAGTCCACAGTTAACGAGATACGGTACGGTCATAATACATATACAATACACAGTACGTATGAGTATTACTCGGAATTTTTTTAAAATAAAAGATTCCGCCATTATATTCATTTTTAAAATTATTTTTCCAATTTTTATTATTTTTGGTCCTTTTGTCAATTGTAGGTGAAAATACGAGTAAAATATGTTCAGTTTTGTGCATTATTGCAAAATATGTATTATTTGTGAAAAATATGCATGTGCGTAGGATTTCGAGCCTCTGCATTTAGCATCGATGCATTTACACTTATTTAAATCATTTAATTAATATAATGAAGTTACTTATTCCACGTCACCATAATTATACTAGATTAAGAACTCACCTTGTGTAGCATATCACTTACCCCTAATGAGCTCTATTTTATTTTAGGTTTAAGCAACACCCCTTTCATCCTCCCCACGTCTTCTATCATACGCTCTCTTTTATGATTAGAAAAAAAAAAGTAAATTGCCGTACACCCCCCCGAATTAGGACCCTAATTGAACTTAACCCCCGGAATTAAAAAGTCAGCCAATTTAACACCCGAGTTTGAAGAATATGATGCAGATGTTGAGTTTGGGGAAGAAGTAGAGGTTGAAGAAGTTGATGAGGATGAAAAAGTTGATGAGGTTGAAGAAGGTGATGAGGATGAAGAAGTTGATGAGGAAGATTAAGAGTACAAAGAGACTGACTTCGAACAATCTGATGAGGAAGATGATAAAGGCTTTCATAGGTATGTGGTAATTGAGGATGTTAAGGATGATCACAAAGAGCCGGGTGAAGTTGAGACTGATGAAGAGTACAATACAGAGGATTTAGATAGCTTGACTGAAGAAGATGAAGAAGAAGATGAAGAATAAGGCAAAAGGAGGAATAGAGAACTTAGAGCACCAAAGTTTAAGCAATACAATAAGGCCCATGACTTCTTCTTGGATCCAAAGTTCTATTTGGGAATGGAATTTCCTACAATTGGGGATTGTTGGCAGGTTATTAGATACTATAGTGTTGCATATGCTAGAAAGATAAGATAAAAATGAATCTTATAGGGTGAGAGTTGTGTGTGAAGGTAAGCCTGAGGATTTGGAAGAAGAGGAATGGGAAGAGGAATGTGAAAAAGAAGATGTGAATAAGTAAGAAGATGTGAAAAAGGCATGTCCTTGGATGTTGTTTGCTTTATTGGTTGGAAAATGCCCTACTGTGACAATCAAGACTTACACACCCACTCATACTTGTGGTAGAGATCAGACAAGTAGGTTACAACTTCAAGTTGGTTGGCAGAGAGGTTTAATGAGAATCTGAGAGAAAATCCCAAGATGTCAGTGAGTGATTTCATGTAGTTAGTGAGGAAAAACTATGGTCTTGATGTCACTAGGGATCAAGTGTACAAGGCTAAATCCCAGGCTAGAGAAAGGATACAAAGGAACATTACACATCAATATGCTCAATTGTGGGATTATTGTGAGGAACTCAATAAGCCAAATCCAGGAAGTACAGTGCTTATGAAGACTTCATTGAGGGGGAATGAGCCATATTTTGAGAGGATTTACATATGCTTTGCTCAGTTGAGGAAAGGCTTCATTGAGGGATGTAGGACATTGGTTGGGTTTGATGGGGCACACATTAAGAGACCTCACCCAGGCCAAATTCTAATTGCTGTTGGGATTGATGCCAACAATGGCATGTTCCCAATAGCATATGCAGTTGCATAAACAAAAATTAGATCTACATGGACTTGGTTTTTAGAGATTTTCTTTCAGGATATTGGCATTACAGCAGGTGGACCGGGTTGGGTCTTCATTACAGACAAGCAAAAATATTTGGGTCAAGCAATTGAGAGCTTGAAGCCAGAAGCTGAACACAGGCACTATGTCAGACATTTGCATAATAACTTCAAGAGTGCTGGTCATAGCGGTTTAGCACTTAAGTAGGCATTGTGGGCTGCTGCTAGGTCTACAACCATTCCATGGTGGGAAGCTGCAATAAGGAAGATACTAGAAATTTCAGGACTTGCTCATTCATGGCTTCTAAAAAGGCCAGCCAAACATTGGAGTAGATCTTACTTCACAACTGGATCAAAGTGTGATATTCTATTCAACAATCTCTGTGAGTGTTTCAATGCAGCTATATTGGATGCAAGAGACAAACCCATAATCACAATGCTTGAAAGAATAAAAACTTACTTGATGTTAAGGATGACAAGGCAGAAAAAGGTTAAGTGGAATCATAAAGTTGGGCCAAAGGTGTTTAAGATTATTAAGAAAAATATTCAAGACAGTGGGACTTGCATTGCACAAAATGCTGGAGGAGGGAGGTTTCATGTGACTCATATGCATGGTGGACAGTATGCTGTGAATTTAACTAGGCATACATGCTTATACAGAAAATGGGACCTCTGTGGCATTCCTTGTTGACATGCCATGCCATGACTGCTATTTCATGACAACAAAGAAGCCCAATGCAGTTTGTGAACCCATGCTATAAGAGACAGACATATGACAAAGCCTATGGTAATTACCTTACACCCATGCCTGGCTAAGAGTTATGGGTTAAGATAGGGCACATGCCCATTAAACCAACCCCTCTTTTTTATTTTTTTTATTTTATTTTTTATAATCATAAACAAAGTGGAAGTCCCTAGAAGTCATGAAACATAGAAGTCGATGAGATCCCAAGGGGTGCAACTAAACTAAAGAGGTATGGCATAGTTGTGCACTACTCAGTTTGTGGAGTAGAAGGTTGTTGACACCATAACTGACCAAGCAACTAGAAGACTAGAAGGAACTCTAAGCAAAGCAAGAGGAGTCCCACATCGGAAAACAACAAGAAGTGAAGGCTCCCTCTCACCTATAAAAGCATACCACTCTCCACTTAAGAGAGGATCCGAAACTGAGCTGGGTTCCCTCGTCATAATGTAACTAACTGTGGCAGAGGAAACAGTGGAGAGGTTAGTTCTTTGTTAAGTAACCTACTTACTCATAAATTTCATAATTGTGGCTACCTTAAGCATGCTTTTGTTATTGGATTTGCAAGTACAAGAACAAGGAAAAGGAAGGGGAAGAAGAAGAATAAGAGGAAGAGGGTAGAGGAAGAGAAAATGGAGGACCTAGCACCTCAACTCAACCAAATGCAGGAAGAGCAAATGGAGGTCCAAGCACCTCATCTCAACCAAATCGACCTTCAAGAATTGCTAGATTAAAGGTAATTGATACTCCATGTGTATGTTTAGAATGTTTTATATGTTTAGAATAATGGTAATGGCCTTCTCTTTTAATATAGGTTGTTAGAGGGGGATTGCAAAGGAGTAAAGGGGGATTGAAAAGCACTCAATGCAATTGACCAACTTAAGGAGGTTCAAACATTGCGCAAGGCAATCAACCAACTTAATCAGGTTCAAACATTACTTAAAGCGTCAACAAACTCAAATTGGGTCTGCTACTGCTCAAGGTAGTCAACCAACTCAAACTAGACATGCCACTGCTTAAGGCAGCTACCCAATTAAAACTAGACCTGCCACAATTTGGACAACGTTGAGCTCTATATTTTGTGAACTATGCTTTTGGTAGTGTATTTTGGAACCAACTGGGAAGTGTATTTTGGGCACCATTTGGTAGTGGAGTTTGGAAGTGTATTTTGGAAATGTTAAGTTGAGCTCAAACTGTTTGACCTCTCTATTTTGAGAAGGTAAAATTGTGTATGTTAAGTTGTTAATGCACTTGGTTTGCATTTTGCCCTATGTATTTTGAGCACTTTAGTTTGCACTTTGGTTTGCATATTGTATTTGCACTTTGGATTTGCAATTGTACATGGAAATATACGGCAGATAAACATACCAACCAAACTAAAATACAAACTAACCAAAACACAAACACAAACAGACCAAAATGGCCAACCAAAACACAAACTGACCAAAACGGCCAACCTAAACACATAAACTGACCAAAACAACCAACCTAAACCCTTTTACTCATCAACCAAGCCAACACATGCCATTCCACATGTTTCTCTCTCTGTCTCTCATCTCTTTGAAAACCTTTTTCTCTCTTGCTCTAATCTCTTCGAAAGCCTTCTTCTCTCTTGCTCTCTCTTCTTCCAACTTGTTTATTCTCCTAAAAAATTTCAGAATGATATGTTTAGACCTCTCACACATTTTTGGGTCTTTCCAATCTTTCCAACCACCCCAAGCACCAAACTTCTCTCTCGAACATACATAGAACCTCTTACCTGGATCATCATCACTCCAACATGTCTTGATGTCAGCCTCAAGTCCACACTTGCATATCCGAACCATTTCCCCCTTTGTGATCCACGTGCTTGACTTCGACTCGGATGAACCATCTGCTCTAGGTACGTTCCTTCGCATATTCTTCTTCTTATTCTTATTCTCCTTCTCAACTATCTGCACTTAGGCTTAGTTTGGTATTGCTGTGCTTTTTAAAAAAACTGCTTCTGCTGTGCTGCGAGAATAAACAGCTGTGAAGAGAAGCAGCTAGGTGTTTGGTAATTCGTATTTGTAAAAGTGCTGTGAGTATAAAAAGCAGTGTCATAGCATTTGGTAAACTTTTTTTTAGAAGTGCTGTGAGAGTGTATAATGACCAAAAAGGGCATAATACAAAAGTGTTACTTATTTATTTATTTTTTGTAAAACACAAGGAAGTTCAATACACTTACAATTTTTTTTTTAAAGAATCTTAATTATAATATACACTTTTCCCACACAAAAAAAAAAAAAAAAAACTCGATGAAAAAAATAATTGTTTTGACAAAGCTACTTTTTTTTTTTTTTTTTTTTTGGTCTGGATGATAAAGTTAGTACAAACAGTCATAAGGTACTTAAGTACAACATTTTTGATAGATGCCTAGAACACCATCAACAAAATATAAACTCAAAATGCACTGAATATAAACAAATGTCTAACTAGATGCGTGCATTAAACTTGCAGTGATACTATTTCTCAAAGCTTCGATCTCTTGTCCTCCTTGATCATAAGTTGTATGGTTATGTTGTTGTACGTCAACATCCCCATCAATTTCTTCACTTAAAATATTCCTTGGATTATCAAAATGTTTATCACGTTGAGCATGCCTTCTTATATAATTATGAAGCGTCATTGTTGCAATGATTATCTTCACTTGCTTGTTGAATGGATAATTAGGCATATCCCTTAAAATCTTCCATCTTTTCTACCATACTCCAAAAGTTCGTTCGATGACAGTCCTAAGAGAAGAATGTGCATGGTTGAATACCTCTTTAGGACCCATTGGTTGGCCACCCCTACGAAAATCAGGAAGATGATATCTTTCGCCTTTATATGGTCCCAAAAACCCTCTCATTTGTGGGTACCCAGCATCTACCACATAATACTTCCCTGTCAATTCAAAGATTTATTTTATTATGATATAATTGCATAAAGTGAGTAATTAAAACATGAATGAAGGCACTAAAATAACACCCTACATAATCTTACCAATTGGAGGCTTAGGAAAATTTATATTTGGATTTCGTAACACTGATAAAAACACCCTTGTGTCGTGTGCAGTTCCTTCCCAACCGGCACATGCAAATGTAAATTGCATGTCAAAACTACATGCAGCCATAATATTTTGAGTAGGCATCCCTTTCCTACCAATATATGGTACTTGATCTTGAGGTGGTATTGAGGCATGAACATGCACTCCATCTATGGCACCAATACAATCCTTAAAATGAGAATAAAACAACAAGTTTGAATATGTATAATAATACTTAACACCCAAAAAAAAAAAAAAAATTTCAGATTTGATCATTACCTTAAAGTGAGGCATATATCTAGAATTTGAGAGTATTTCTTGTGGGGTGTCACTAAACTCGGGATCAATTGGTTTGATGACATCTATTGCCATACGACATACAATATCCAACACAAGACCAAAATATCTACTCACTGTCTCACCAGAATGTTGAAATCTCTCTTGTGATAACCTATTTCCTATACCATGTCCTAGCATGTGCAAGAACATTCCCAATATTTCAAAAGCACTCATTCTCCTTGACCCCTTCAAGCCATAATTAGATTGCAAGTCGTAACATAACATGGAAAATACATCTTTATCCATCCTAAACATTCTATAACACCGACTATCATTCCCTTGTAATAGTTCCATCAACCAGATATTACCTGTTTGGGAGGAATCCATACAAGGCTCTTTATGAACATATTTCAAATAATATAATTCAATAGCATGAGCACAAGCACATATAGCTAGATTAATCTCGTCCTCCTCCTCCTCCTCTCCATCATTTAGAATGTTCATAGTTTCAAATAACCTGCAATTTATATTTATGCTCATCATCACTTCCATATAACATAATCCAAATAACGACATACAATATCCAACATAATAGTCATACATGATCCAAATAACACAATCCAAATAACAAATACATAATCCAAATAACAAGTTTAACCATAAAAACCAGCACTTCACACACAAGCTCTCCCTATTGGTTGTTAAATTCATAAGTAAGCCACGTAAGTTTGACGTCAGGTGTTTTCATGGTAGTGAACATCTCTCTCTTCTCTTGATTCAAAAATAATTGAGTGGCAAACAACCACGTATTACTAGTAGGTTCACACCCAGGTAAAGTCACAACAATTTCCATCACTTCAGCAATACTACTACCTATTTGCATCTTCTTCATCAATGAAGTTGCAGTACTTCTACTCTCAACAACCTCAACAAGGCGCTCAATTTGGCTAGACAATTTTGCAGCCCCTCCAATTTTTCCTCTCTTATCTTTCTTAATATTATTGTTAAACTGATCAGCAGCTTTTTTTTCCCCTTCCTTGCAGCGTTTTTCAAAGCTTGAATGGTTTCAACTGGATTTGAATCATCTGAACTAGCACTTCCATCGATTGCAACATCGCCCATGGATGCCTCTTCAGTTTCTGGTGGGAGTATACCAGATGAAGGTGCCCAAGCATGTTCACCAGTGGCTGTTCATGAACATCCTATCAAGCTTTTCTTCCATCTCAGGACTAATACCTTTTTTACGTAATTTCCCATAATCAGGATTTATCTACATTGTAGAGAAATGATTGTTAATATAAATGCATACTATGACACCAACCTAAAGGACAAATTGAAAATTGCAAAAAAAAAATTAAAAATTACACACCTGGATTTTATTAGTCCACCACTCATCAGATGCATCAACAGTACCCTTGCTTGGATTCCACCCTAGACCAGTTTCTTTCCCAACTAGTTCTTTCCACAACTTCCATTCAATCTTAAGTGCATCCCACTTATTCTTCAACTGAACTTTACCATACTCATGTCCCGTCTCTTTCTTAAAATTTAGCTTCAAGTTTTCCCATCCATCTTTGTTAAAGTGAGTGCCAGGACGACGTCCTGCCTCCACCTCCTTGATGCATAAATCACAGAATATGACTATATTATGGCTATTCCAAGTAGCTGTAGCTCGAGATGAACTTCCCACATTCTTCCTCATCCTTACTTTTAAAAAAGTGCCAAACAACAAATATCAATCATCAAAGCTACTGCAATACTTAAAGAAATAGTGTCCTAGTTGATATTAAATTAATATGTAATATTTGTTTGTATGATTATGTACTGTAAAGTGTAATAAAAGATATTCCAGCTGCCGTGTGTTGTGCCTACCTCTCCCTCACTTATCATTACAATAGAGAAATCTCTATGCCGTGTGTTGTGCCTACCTCTCCCTCACTTATCATTCAAATTTGTCACCCAAAAAAGAATATCACCATGCTATCATTGTCGAAGGCTATAAAGTATTTTTGGTCAAAATTGTGAGGCTATAAAGTTTCATAAAGTCTTGATCAAGGGCCCTTCAAACCCAATATAATATAAAACAACAATCGCAATAATCAGAAAATGACAAAGAAAGAAAGGGACTAAAATAATAAATATCAGACTCAAACATCTTCAATCTCTAGTTCGCATAAACCCCCAAATTCCATCAAATAACAGAGAGAGAAAGGTTTTACACAGAAACCCCAAATTCCAGAAAGGTTTTACCAAGAGGATATGAAAGATAGAGATACCCAAGAAGAATAAAGATACTCAGGAGGACATGGAAGATACCTGTAACGCAGCTTCAGTGAACAGATTTGAGAGAGCCCCTCTTGCTGAGACAACTCCAGAAAACTTGAGGAACGGCTGCAAGGATTGGAGAGTGCGATATGAGCTTCGTAGGGTTTGATCGAGAAAAAGATGGGATATAGCGTGTCATTTGTTAAAATAGATAAGGGCAGTATAGGCATTTTGAAAGTTTCATTAAAGCCTCCGCATGCTTCTCCTGGCAGCAGATTTCAGAAGCAGCTCCCCACCTGCTTCTGTTTTTCAGCTTTGAATGACAGCAACTTATTAAATAAGCAGCTTGGATTTGATTTACCAAACACCCAAATCCCCAAAACTTTTTTTAAAGCTGCTTATTTTAGCCTCAAACCAAGCCTTAGTTGGGTATGCCTTAAATTTGTGAAATAGGGATTCTATGTTTTTAATTTGGTGCCAACTATTAGGGAAGGGGAAGATTGGGAAGGAAATGGGTTAGAATGACTACATTGCCCTTGCACATGTGTCTCATATGTCAATTTTGAAGGAATTTTGGATGAAATGTAAGAAAATCTAACGATGGGTGTTAAATTGGCCATTTTACTTACTTGGAGTGTTAAATTGGCTGACTTTTTAATTCATGGGGTTAAGTTCGATTGGGGTCCTAGTTCAAGGGGGAAGGGGGGGTGTACGACAATTTACTCTAAATAATAAATGAATAAAAAAAAATAAACAATAAGAAAAATAGAATAATATTTATAAAAATAAAAAATTACAAGTTTCCCTTATAGTTAACGAAAAATTAAATGAAATTCACAAAACTTAACGGCAAGGGCTAAATTGGCCATTTGAATTAATTCATGTGTTAAATTGGCTGACTTTTTAATTCAGGGGGTTACGTTCAATTGGGGTCCTAGTTCGGGGGTGTACAACAATTTATTATTTCCATAAACAATAAGGGTAAATTTGTAATTTTGAATAAAATAATAGTCAAATACATAAAATCAGAAGAAATAAATAATAAAATAATGTTATTTATAATTGTAAAAATAACAAATGATATATAAAAAATAAAAATAGAAAATAACCCACCCTCTTCCCCACAACCCCACCCTGCCAACTGCCACAACTCACCTCTTCCTCCTCCACCCACCCATCCCAGCCTCATCCTCCTGCCACAACCCATCTCAACCACTGAATAGCCCCACCTCCCCTGCTGCCATCCCTGACCGCCTCAACCCAACAACTTAACAACCTAATCGACGCCTTAATTGGATTCGGCGATTTCGAAAACTGGGTCTTCACCTTTTCCAAGCTCCAGCTCTTCAAGCCAATAAAGAATAATCAACCGTAGGAATTATTAGTTATTGAGGAGACCTATTTCTTCCTATTGCATAACAATGCCAGGCAAGTATTCATAAAGGGAAATTCCTTAATGGACAACATAGGATCCAGTAGAATGATATAAATTGCTTATTGTTGAGGCCCAAAAAAGTCCCGGGAAGCCCAAGACATTTAAAGTCCAATATAACATATAATGTTAGTCATGCGTTAATCCAAGTTGTATTTTGGGAATTAATTTATTAAATAAATATAGAAATAGTGTACATGCCATGCCAAACCAATAATACATTTTTCCCATGCCAATCACCTACCAAGCTCACATGAACTCAAGTCATGTGATTTATGGGGCTTGCACGAGGGATTGTGGTGTGGAAGGTTATGGAGGTTCACAAGGCTCACGGTAGCTCTTGGATAATGGAGACTTTGGGCTAGCTACTTGGGAGCACCAAAGCCCAAGCCCATTACTAGGAGTTCTCCAATGTGGGTAAGCAAATAAGATATTTTTCAAGCACTCTCTATTACCCACTCGAAACAAGCCAATTCCGATACTTTCTTTTACCCATAGGAAATAGTCATTTTTTAATGCCTACCTTTACCTGTTGGAAATAAGAATGTCCCAATGCTCCCTTTTACCCGTTGGAAATAAACTAGCTCCAACACTTACTTTTACCTATTGGAAACTGAAAAGAGCCTTCACCTTCTATAAATTGGGAGACATTGTCCAGGCAAAACCAACCTCTCTTGGTTGCTGCAAGCCTCTCAGCAACCATGAGAACTCACCTTTCTTCAGCTGCTGCAAGATTTCCAGCAGCAGTCACAGTCATTCCTGAGCCATCAACCTCCAGCCTTTGGCTGCTGCAAGCATCCTAGTAACCATCGACCAACATCTCTTGATTGCTCAAGCACCCCAGCAACTATCAGAGCACCTTCCTTCCTCCCTTCGGCTGCTGCAAACATTCTAGTGGCCATCCCAGCCATTCCTCAACTATCACAACCATTTCTTTTACTTTCTTAGTGACAGGACCCGACCCAAATTCCACTTTGGAATCTGTGTCGAACCCTGTGCGTGTCCAAGACTTGGCAAGTGCTGGGCACACTTGACCAAATTGCCCTTCTGTCTACGACTAAAAAATTCTTTTAAGGCTTGACTTCTGTCGAAAATTTGGCAGAGTCTCCCCTGTAAATTGCTCGTTTCCCCAAAATTTCCACATGTACAAAACACAATTCTATAGTCCCAATCGTTCAACATACAAGAATTTCGTCCATACGCAATTCAACAGTGACTCCAATGGAACTCAGGCCCGTACAACATAATCAAAACATTGACGTTCACCTTGTTATAAACGAGAATTGATGGTAATCCAAAATTTGCCCAATTACAACGGATTTCAACTAAACCAATTCAAAGCATAATTCAACAGTTTATTTTGCGGCTGCACCTAGGTTAACCTAGGTTGCCTACGTACCCTTATCGAGGGATCAAGCCGCACGTAGTTCTTTCCACAAGAAAACAAAGTTCAATCCATATATAAGCAAATGAATGAAGTATTCCTTTACACATTCCCATAACTAAAGGCTTCAAACTCTAATCAATTCGCTGAAACTCAAGCAAAAGATATTGATTTCAGAACGATCTTCCACCCATCACATATGTGCATACACAATTACATATATATATATATATAATAGCTCATTACTTAAGAAAATAGTTGTGAATTGTATAAAATCCTTAAAACTTAGAAAACTCTCAATCATTGTCTCATAAGTTGGAAAACATATATTAAAACTTTCACCAATAAGTACCAAAATAAAATCATCAATTTTAGTTTAAAACATCTCAAAACTCAAATACTCTCTACCTAGGCGTAACCCCACTCATGATCCGTCAATTCCACTAATATTCCGTCAATTCCAATAATATTTCATCAATTCCAAGTGTTACATAAGCGACACATCCTCGCAGGCCTCGGAAACACAAAGTCAACCCGAGCCGCATTTATCGCAGAACTCAAGGGACACGTAGTCAGCCCGAGAACGCACATCCTCGCAGAACTAGGGGGACATGTAGTTAGCCCAAGAACGCATATCCTTGCACCACACGGTTCAGGCATCCCTGAAACTCGTGGGGCATTGTCATAATTGACAAAACTGTTTCAAAGGCAACTGGGGTGTATTCCTGTGGTGGGTTTGAAAATCATATTCCGAAACTTATCATAAACTTTCCCTTAATCCACAAATCCATTTTCCAAATCTTTTATCAACTTTCCAAAAATCAGTTCTCAACTACGTTTAAATAATCCAATATCACTCAGTCATATACTTTAATAATAATAATCATAATAATAATAAATAATGTAAAATATTAACCCTTAGTGATCCCATATCCTTATTAACCCAATTTAAATCAATTTTTAATCAAAACTCACTTATGCAAGAAATTCCATAATAAAAGAGCGAAGTACACTTAAAAACAAATGTCCACTCATTCCCTAATAAATATAGCCGAGACCCACGGCTCACTTTCACAACTACCAAACAAGTATTCCATGCTCATCTATTCCATAACTTTAATTATCAAAATAATATCCAAGAATTCCATAAGATACTATAAAACAATCTCATAATTCCAACATAATCAAAATAACTCAAATAACAGTCAAGATTTGTTTATAAGGTCGTTCTAGTACTTCTTGAAGGGTGGAACTACCTCGGAAGACTCACGGTCAATCGTGCGGTCAAACTGCCCAAACTTGGTCAACTGGGCTTGCGGGGCCCACGACCTCCGATTTCCGATCCGAGAGTTCCTACGGGTTTAACAGGGTTTACTATACATATCCTTCAAGTTTGATCTGAAACGAATGGTCAGATCGCTCACGATCGCACGATTGGACGGTTATCATTTAACGCAAACTTTAAGTCATTGAATCGGAGCATCCAGGCTCCAACTCACAATCCGCGAATTCCTACACAATCCTAAAGATGCCTAGATCAACATATATGAAAATGGAGTCGATCCAACGGTCTGAACATATCGAACCCGGATAACGCCCAATATGCGATATCCAATCGACAGTCAAACGGTAGCCAAATTCAAATCCAAGCATACTGTTGTACTCGGGACGACTTGGGGATCATTTTAGGACCCAAAGGCCTACCATGAAGTGCCCCACGTGTCGCCACACGCACCGGCAGCGCGTGGATGTTCATAGTAAATTTCGGCAATCGGAAAATCTCCAAACCGCTAGTCAAGACTTATGCCAAAAAATGAAGCACATCAAGAGGAGTAAGTTTCATACCTGAGTCGTAGCCTAATTTGGCCGTTAAAGCCCTCGAACGAACAGTTTTCTCTTCGAAAAACCTAGAAATTTCTAAGTTTGGATTCGATGATTTTGGGATGGAATCACATCGGGTCTTTGAGAGAAATTACAGAGGGGAGGTAGGTGAGTGGTTTGGGTGTGATAGCACGGCTGGTGGTGGCCAGAGTTGGCAGGAAAAACCCTCGAAATTTTCGGTTTCGAACAACCCGTTTTGGGCTTCACTTTGGCTCGAATTTCTAGTTTAATCGCTTGGAATCAAGGCTAGATATGGGTATATATGGAAAAAGGAGAGAGAGATGAAGAGTTTGCAGGTTGTGGCACCAGTTTTTGTGGCCAGACGACGGAGATATCTCCGTCTGAAGTTGGCTGCTCGTGAAGGAGAAGAAGAGTAGATGAAAAAATCTGGGTTTTTAAAAACTGAACTTCGAAATATTTACGATTATGCCACTAGGTTTCCGTAGCTCATAACTTCTTCGTTACAACTCCTATTTGATCCCATTATGTGCTACGGACTCATCTCAACATAATCTATGCAACGATACCACTCAAATCCCCAAATTCTTTCCCGAACAAAAAGTCAACTTTAACCCATTAAAATATTCCTGGGATAAAATTGTTTTTTACTTGAATATTTTAATAATTAAATTTTAATTTAGGATTGGGTTATTACACTTAGCCTTGAATCCATCTTCCCTATAAAGCCTCACCAAGCATAATTCCAAGCTTTTCCTTCCTCCTCATACCCTTCTAAGCTATAAACACCATAGTCTTTAAGCCTCAAGCTTTTCTTTCCATCATCTTTATCTTGAAACTCTTAAATCACCATAGCCATAGCCACAAACAACAAGTTTTCAACACCCAAACTCAAGCCTATCCACACCAAGCCAAGCACATGCATTCTCGTTTTCTAAACTTGCGGGTCTTTAGCTCCCACACTCCAAGCTCTCCTGCCAAGCTAGCACAATCTCGGTTCAACATCATCAAGTCATCTTCAACCATGCAAAAGCACGACCAAGCATTCGTCAAGTTGTTGGAAATCCACTCAAGCCACCCATCCTTTATCTTCATCTATCTATCTATCTATCTATCTATCTATCTCTCTCTCTCTCTCTCTCTCTCTCTCTCTCTCTCTCTCTCTCAAAAAGCTCCATCCCAAATCTGAAACGCTCATCCTCTCAAGCTAAGTTGAAACCTAGTCATTACCTTTTTGGGGTAAGAAAACACAGACATTGCAACATCTTCGTCTAGCTACCGAAAACACCCAAAATCTCAAGCCTTAATCCTTTCTTATGCTCATTTTCTCTTAGCTCCCACGCCACAAGCCTCTCATGCCAAGCCTAGTAGTATCTTGATTCACCAAAGCAAACTCTCATACCAAGCCTGTGCAACATCAATGCATCATCTCCAACTCTTCATCTAGCTGTCGGAAACATTAGCACAAAACATGCAGTCGCTGGAAGAAGAACAAAGTACTCCCCTGAGACTTGCTTCTCCCTCAGGATACTTTGGGCCTAGTTCTCGCTAACTCAGAAAAATAGGCAACGAAGGCTTGATTCACCACTCTATTGCGGTCCAAGAATCAACAAGCCCGGATGAGCCTTCCGACAAAAAAAGACCCAAACACTTATAAAGTCCAAATATTACAAAAATGTGAATCCTTTACAAACCAGGATAAGAGAAAATATTGCTTTTTACAACAAATTCTATTGCAAATAGGGAAATTACAATTCTCATCAATAATTTAAGCAGTGACTCTTCAAACTTGACATATTGGAGTGCAAAAGAGTTGCAAAGAGTTCAAAAGAAAATTATAATTCATAAAATAACTTATTAACTAGGAAAGATGGATTTTTTCCATTCACCTAAGCCTATCTGAGGTCAGTTCCTTTCTATATCAACAACTTCGAGTCCAATAAAAAAGAACGAGCTTTTTAATTTGTAATCAATAATACCAAAAAGGAAGGACGAAGAAGAAGAAGAAGAAGGAACTTGAGCCACGCATAATTACTCCCACTCAAATTATCAATCGAGCAAGTAAGATTGATGGGGATAGAGACGGGGAAAGAGCGTTTTTTTTTTTTCATTTTTTTTTCTAATTATTTAAGTTTTTTTAATAAAAAAAATAGAATAATACTTTTTGGACGGAAAATTGGATGAAATTTAAAAAAATAAATAAAAATAAACGGCAAGAGCTAAATTGGCAATTTTAATTAATTTGGGGACTAAATTGGTTGATTTTTTTAATTATGGGGGTTAATTTCTACAAGGGTCATAGTTCAGGGGTAAAACGGCTGGAAAAAAAAAAAAAAAAAAAAACATAAGCCCCCTTCTCAGACTCCCTGTTCATGGCTACCATTGCTCTCGCAGTCCAACAACCCCTCCTGATTCCAATTTGACATTTTCTAACTTTACCTTATACACCGTCAAGTTTCAATACAATAAAATTGAAAACCCAGGGCATGTTCAAAAGCATATAATAGGAAATATTTCTGCGGCAATTGGACGTTTTTTTCTCGTGTGGAAGTTGAGAAAAATTTAACTGGAATTGGATTTTCCATGGGAATTCCTTTTTATCAACGAAGAAGTAACTGGTTGAAGACACAAGTATGGCTATGCTCAAGTCATAGATTCTATGGCAAGCTTGAACTGTGCTAAAGAAAATAAATATAGACGTTGGAGAGATGGTAGCCGTGGGCACTACAAGAGTATGGAAAGAGGGTTTGTGTATGAAGACGTGAGGAGGGTGAAAGGGGTATTGATTAAACTTAAAATAAAAATAAAATAAAATAGATCTCATTAGGGTAAGTGATACGCTACAGAACGTGTGTTCTTAATCTAATATAACTACGCTGATGTGGAATAATTAACTTCATTGTACATAAATGCATCAATGCTAAATGCAGAGGCTTGAGATCCTATGTGCGTATGTAATATGTCTTCAGGAAAATGTATATTTTTCTATATAATTGAGAAGTGTCAGAGAAGTGAAAGTTTACTTTAAAAATACGAATAAAATGCTCGAATAACACGTATATTATTGCAAAATGTTCGAAAAAAATGTATTATTTCTATATAAAAAATAAAAAATAAAAACCTGTCACATTAACCAAATTGCCAGTTTTAACTGATGGGAGCTTCTCCAATAAGGAATTTTGTTAAGGTTTAATTAAGGAGTTCTAATCGCAGCATCCATTAGATATGTTTGTGGGTTAAATAAAATTTTATATATACCATTCATGCAAGCCAATGGTCGAGATAGACGTCATTAACCAATCCTTAAACAATTAAATCATTAACACAAGATAAGCGTTGGAACGGTAGTAAGAACTCTCAACCATCAAAATAGTCATTTTGCTTATAGCAAATCAGGTTGAAGTTCAAGGATAATAACATTAATATTAGGAAAATTAGATCCCACCATCAAGATTTCAAAATATTTAGACTAAACCCAGATACCTTTTCAATTTTTCTATTTACATTTTCCACAGTAGGTTACATACAACGGAGAATTTTTGAGCTTGTGGATTTCTTGTTCGGAGTTTTCAATGCGCTGCTTCATTAGAGTTACAGAAAGAAACTAGAGGAGAAAACATTCGTTGAGAGAGCTTCAATCAAAAATCTCCTGGGCTTCAATTATGCTATGCTGGCTGGAAAAACAAAGAAAACAAGAGTTGGAGAAGTTAGAGGGTCGCACAATATAATAAATAAAAGACTTGTACAGAAAAGAAAAAGGAAAAACAATCAAAGCAGTAGATTAAAAGATAATAGCCATACTGATCGTCCTTTGCCACCCGATAATATTTCTCTGCATGCTGGCGTTGGCCAATTAGTTGAGCAAAACGCTCATCATGAGTAATTACAATCAGCTGAAAGTTTTCCTGGCCCTTCCGGTCCTCCATAATTCTGCAGGAGGGAAAATGGGAAATTTTACTTAAGTTAATATCCAGCAATGGAGTCTCAAATGAGAATTAGTCTGTTCATACCTATGGAGAGCAGCAGCAAGACTGTCTGCATTTGGGCCATCCAAATTTGTCGTCGGTTCATCTAGTGCTAGTATTCCACAGTTGAGGCAGAAAGTTTCAGCTAAAGCCAACCTTATGATAAGGGAAGCGAGGACCTGAAAACAAACCCCAAGTTTCAGCTTTCCATTTCTCCTAACACATAAAGTAATGCGTTCAAAGATCACTTACCTTCTGACCAGCACTGCATCTTCCTCTCATTTCGAGCTCTGCATCACCGGTCTGCATGAGAACCTGACATTATGCAGTGTCAGCAATGTGAGAATGGCTAGGGAAATTAAAGGATGTGCGAGAAGTTAAAGGAAAACATTCATACCTTGTAGCTATATGAACGAGTCCCAGCACCTTCAGAATCTGAATGTATACATATGTAGTCTATATCTTGTCCTCTGTATGTTTGCTGCCACAACTCCCTTATAATTTTATTTATTTCCTCCATTTTCATGGTGTGGAAGCGCATCAGTGCTCTGAAGAAAAAGGAAAAAGGAAAAAGGAAAAAGGAAAAACAGATCAGAGATAACATTATAAAGAAGATGCATGCAACAGAGATTTCATCAATTGACTGCACCAATTATATGTACTGTGTATATATTAGTGTTTCTCTATGCAAGACGTCCATCTTTTATTAAATGACAGATTCGCAATAACATTGTCAATAATGTCCAGAGATTAATTACTGGAACAAATACATATTGACAGGTTATCAACAGGTTGTCAGTAGACTGTTGACATGTTATCGACACGTTATTGCAAATCCGTCCTTTCCTTTTGTATATGTACACGCATAATACCTAATAATGGAAAACTAAGATGAGGAATTGGTCCAAATTTTGCAAATTTTCTGATTGTTAAATGGAGATAGCCAACAAAGCTTCAATATGACAATAACATATATGTATAAGCAACTAGAACATTCGAGTTTCCCTGGTCATGTTCTGTCTTTTTAAATAGAAGAACTACTAAAGATATATTATAGTGGTTTTAAAAAAGAAAACATTATGCAAATTTTGGTTAGCAGGTGTAACGTGGCATGCCGGATAATTAGGCGGCCAATGGGCAGTTTTCTTTTTTCTATCTTTTCCTTATTATAACTGCAGAGTAATAATTGGATTCTTTTGTTTGGGGAATTAAGTAGATGAAGATAAAGCAAACAGTGATCACATTATCAATAAATAGTCATTTAAACATTATGGAACTGCAAATAAGAAACCAGAGAAGGGTAGCAAAGAAGAAGAATCATAGTGACAATAACAACGACGATAATAATAATAATGATCACAAACAACATAAACATAATAGTAGTAGTAGCAGTAGTAGTAGTAGTAGTAGTAATAGTAACAATAATAATAAGTGAACGATTTTTTTGTTAAAAACAGACTATGGAATCGACATTTGGGCTTCTTTTTTGGTTATATTAGCAAAATACGGAGGTTCATATATAGCTAATCATAATTTTAAAATCTAGTTCTAGAATCTCACTTGTCAAGCGCATTGTAGTATCTGTCCAGGTCCTTGTTTGCCATCTCAGTTGTCTGTCATAAAATATTCAGGATAATAATAGTAAGATATGAGCAGTAAGGAGAAGTATTTGCTGCTTCATAAAGATGTCATACCTTTAGCTGGATTAACTGATCAAAGTACCGCTTGTCAATTTCCTTGTATTGTGCCTGTTTGAGATCACTTATATCCCTTGAAATATTTTTCTGGTAAACAGACATGGTTCCACGATGAATGTTTAACTGCCAAAACGAATAATTTTATAAATAAAATTTGTAATTTCAATAAAAAGAAAAATGGATGTAGAACCAACAAAGAGGAGATTCTACCAGAGGTGCAATATATAAAATTGCAAACTTTCAGAACATGCAACAACAACTCTTATTGGTTTTATTTTGAGCTATTGAATTTCATAGTGTCTTCGTATAATTTTCAAATCAAGACTAAAATAGTCACCTACAATCTCATTTATATGCTCAAAATCCCAGATAAGTGAAAGCAATATAATTATGGAGATCATAATTTACTGACCATCAAGAAAAATAACTCTTAAGGATAAATCCATTTAAATTTGCCCTAATTTCTTTTTATTATCTAAAAAATACTAGTGTTTTTGGGCCTGCTAGTATGCTGAGCTGAACTGTTAAGCATGACCTTGTTTCTCCACTCAAATGCGATCTAAACTGAAACCGTTTGCTTCAAGGAAACCAGATCCAATTATGCATAACTCACTACGAAAAATCTCTAAAAGCATACTTGGCACAACATAACCCAGGCACAACATAACCCAAGTTGATTGAAGAGAATATGAGGTGGCTAACTTCCTCAGCAACAGAACAACGCAACAACAAACTATTCAACATCACTCCATTACTTGTACATGCACCCCAATGAACAATAGAATCTTTCTTCCTAATAACATTCTTAGACATAAGTACACTTCTCAAGGCAGCTATTTCAATGGAAAACAGGAGATCCAGTCAAATAAGGATGCACTAAAACGTCACAATGTAGCTTGACCAAAGAAAGTATTAAAGGCAACACAAAAAGGGCAACGCAAGGTTAGGAAATTAAGGCAATGCAAAATAAGACCATAAAAGAAGGCAAAATCTTATAATTTAAAATAAAAACGTACACAAAATGCAGAAAGATACCATATCCATATAAGCATATCTACTACACTTCCAAATTTTCTTTTCATTCCGCCTTTTAAATAAATTCAGTTCTGTTAGTTCACAAGAAACTTTAGCAAGTGTCCCTGTAAGTAAGATGAATATCACCTAAAGTATACTAGCCATGCTTTCAGGAGCAATGAAACAAAGAATGATATGTGTAGAACGATGAATACCTCTGAAAGAAGCCTCTCCCTCTCCTGTGAGAGCTTTCCAAATTCAGCTTCAATTTTGGATTTCCCACCAATCTTCAGAATTCTGTCTTCCAGTGATTCAATCTCCTGGGAAAGTTCCTCTACTTCAGCTTTTGTTTTCCTGTAATTCAAATTATCCTCGATATTTCGTTTTAACTGATCTTGATTCCGCTTTAATTCTTTGCTTTTGTCTAATTCAGTTGAAATTTCCTGCTTTCTAGTATCACAACTTTGAAGTTGAGATTCTGATAGACATTTATTTACTTGCAGTTCCTGCAACTTCTCTCCTTTCTTTTCATCATTATACCTGGTAGAAAAAAAAAAAAGTTTATAGAAACGATCAAGTGTATACAAGAGCCTTAAAACCAATCACTCAAAAGTCAAAACTTACTGTTTAATTTTAGAAATAAGCGTAAGTAGTGCCACAACTTCCTGCTGATATTTTCCTTTTTTTTCAGCTTGCTCCTCATATTCGCGATCAAGTTTAACTTTTAAGTTATTGTAGTCACGAAGTAATTCATCTTTCTCCCTTGATAAAGGGCCATGAGCCTCTTCCAAATGCTGAAAGTTTAAGTACAAGCATGATACATTACAATATAGAAACCGTAAAACTCCAATCACAAGGAAACAACACAGAGAAAATTGATAAATGTAAGAAACAAGAGTTAAGAATTGTTATTGAACATGGTAAAGCCCTATCTCCACTACAAATGTTGCTTATCCAACCCATCGTTGTATCTAAGCAATCAAAATTCTCATAAAATCTAGTGGACCAGCAAATGAATGTGTAAAAATAAAGCAATCCACAAAGAGTCAAAATGTATGCCACAACTTCTAGCAAACTAATGATTATTTTTTTCAACAACTTTGATCATCTGCATTTAAACTCCGCCAAACACATTCAAGCAACCATAGCAACAATCAGAATTCATAAGTACTATTACATTAACTTTATATTGACTTGACTGTTTTATAAGACATATGAACAACTAATATCAACTCATACGCAAAGCAAAAGCACCTAAAAAAAATTGATTAACACCTTTGAGAATGCCAGAATATACTCGACATTGCTTTGCTAGATATGTACGTACTTTTCTTTATCAAGTAAATCAGTTGTGCTAATAAAAAAAGAAGGACAAGAAAAGACACCAAGATACAGAAGTTTAAGTTTGGCACGTGTAGTGAAGTAGTGAATCTATGAACTCTTTTTCTTTCCTGTGAATCTATTAACTCCAAATAACTACATCTACCACCTATGTCTTTAGCATTGAACAAGTGCAAGAGAATATTAAAAACATATTTTTTTTAACTACATGTAACATAAAGCAACTTCTTGAACCCCAAAATCCTCCAGTCCAACAGTGTGGACTAACAATAGTTAACAGCTCTAGGTTTCAGCACCTCAAAGTCAAAAGAGTGTCACCAAGCAGCATTTCTAAACAATTTTTCATGCATAGTGTTTCTCTGCCACAGCTTGTGGCTCCGCATCTCAATGTGCTTTTATTTATTAGACATTATCTAAGTAAAACCTTTGAACCCCACCAGCTTTTTCATATTTGCAAAGATAATGAAATAACCTTTTCATCAAGATCAACTTGACTCTTTTCCTCAGTCAAATGATCCAACTCTGCTTCTACCCTTTCGACATCACGCAAGATATTAGCTGCCTTGCCTTTCTCTTCCTTTAGACTGTGCCACCGTATTCTAGTGTCTGATAAATCATTTTCCATGTACCTTCGTTCTTCCCTTAACTTCTCTAGTTCATCACGCAAATTATCCCTGTTTCCAGGGGAAAAAAAAAAGGATATAACTACAACAAATAGAAAATAAAAATAAATTGTCAAGTAGAATTAATTTAGTATTGTAGGGTGTCAACAAGAGTCCGATTATAAGAAAATATGAAGCTAAAGTCCAGAGACAAAGGAAAAGAAATATAATGGACACATATGTCAAGGTACATTCCCAAGTGGCTAAGCTTTTCTTGATCAAATATTCTGATAACAAGAACAAGTTACCAAATGATGAGTAGACAGTTAGAAGTTATACTCTCTACTACGCAGACCATTCAGCTCCGATTCAATATCCTTCAGGGATTTCGCACCCTGCCCTTGATATTCAAGCTTATACACCAACTCATCAACTTGCTTCTGCAATGTTTGTATTTCTTGAAATAGTCTGTCAGCAGTTTCAATGGGTTGCACCAGGGCCTGAATTGAGTCCTTATCAGCCTTCACTTGAGCTGAAACAGCTAGCACCTACAAAAGAAAAGCAAAAAGATCTTTAAAACAAAATGATTTCATACAAAAGATTAAAAAAATATCTGTCAAAATTATGAATTCATTCAACAACTTGTGGACAAACTACTACTGCATCCAAGTGATAATACCTACATTCAACTCATTAGCCCTTCTCCTACGGACAAAGTTCCATGACTTAAAATGAGAATGAGAGGATAGTAACATATAGAAGGAACTGAGTAAATGACTTTCGGACATAGTATCCTGTTCCCTTGGTCATTAATCTAATTGTCGCTCTAAAAACTGCTTCCATGGATACCAGAGCATGGTGACCAAGTGATGCAAGGCCTGCAGGGAGTTGGAATCTTAATCTGGATATTTTTAGCTGAATAGCCAGCACAATGTAAAGTGAAAGCAATGGACCATGAGACAACAGTAGGTCATGTTAAATAAGTCAAAGCAGCGGACTATGAGTAAAAGCAATGAAGACCTAAAGATTCATACATGAAGGCCAATGTTTTGATTCCATATGCAGTAATGGTCTAGCAAATTTCACAGCGTTGATCCAGTTTTGAATGTCATGGCTTAGTCATAGCATTCAGGAGGCAAAAGTCGTTGGCTTTTTGTTTCAAAGCATAGAGATGGTTACAAGTCTTGAGGGTAATTCAAGGCATAAATGAGGGAGGTAGATTTGGAGTGGTGTTTAGGTTCAAAGTAGTGCTTGCAAGGCCTTGAATCCAATCTGTCAGTCCAAACTCAAAAGTTGTTCTAATTAATAATTTAATATACACCCTTATGTAAAAAGGTCAATAACCTTTCAACTACACCCATATGCAACAAAGTCAATATTCATTTTATTCAGAAATTCGTTGACATCAACAGTTAATGCAGCGATAGCACATGCACATGCACAACTACTACCATGTTCTTCGTGGCTTTCAGAAAAGAAACCATTATAGAGGATGAAATAATTGATGCATACTTAAGAAAATTCATTCAAAACTAATTCAGTGAAGAATTGTTGCACATCAAACATGTTATACAACATGACTCATGAATTCAATATCTGACATCATTATCAAGCCAAATACACTAACCACTAAATTTGTTTTTCATGCAATGCAATATGAATGAGTAGATCTGAACCAAGTATATGCAGAATGGTAGCAGTATTTTCATAGAATGATCTTTCATTTTTCAAGTTCAATTACGGTGTTGATGTACATGCCATATGCGTTTCTTGAGAGTTGGCCAGACAATAAATGGGCTCGACCATGATATTTAAAAGCAAGGTGTAAACAAAAAGATAATTACATCATCGAGGGCCTGAGACTTTTGTTCCATCTCTTCAGTAAGGTCACGTAGTTCTTTCTCTGCATTAGGGATTGTTTCCTTTCCAATGTTAACATATTCTTCATAAACCATGCGGAGCTTGTCCAATTGCTGAAAAAACGAATCAGCACTCAAGGACTCCGCTGCCAGCACTTTTATTTTCTCAGCAGAACTTGCAGAATTCATTCTTTGCTGTAAATTACTATAAAACATTAGCCCAATTCAGCAAGGTACGTAAAAAATTCATATTTCCAATGCACCCTGCTTAGAAAATGTGAATAAGTGATGTATTCCAACCTTTTTAACAAATTCATCTTCCTCTTTGAGAGAGAAGGGGCGTTCACAGCAAGGGCAAATATGATTGGCACGGGCAACTCTCTCAAAAGGATCAAACATTTGTCGCATACCATCTGCAAAGTTGTATTTCCTAAAGACGAGACACCAGATGCAGAATCAAAAAATAGGAAATATGCTGAACATGTTGATATAGATTTTTTTATTTTTGAAGATAATATATAGATGTATTTAGTTATTACTTAATATTAGCCTAGTATGTAAAAATAAGAAAATGAACCTTTTCTCAACATCTCTTTTCTCCTTAGCTGAATCCAAAACTTTGGGATAGGAATCAGCAGTAAAAGATTGCTGATCTAGGGCCTGAAGTTTAGATTCGATATATCTCATTTTTGCTGCATTAAAACAGAATGTAAAGAACAATGTGTATGATTTAATGGAATGCACTAGTTTGCAAAACCAAAATTTTCAGAGGCAAGGCGTGAGCCTTTCGAGCCTCAAAATATTATAATAAGAAAACATAAATAAAATCTACAAGTATAACATTAAAAATTTAGTATTAAAGTTTTAATTTACAAAGCATTCGTGTATGAAGTCTTATTTTATTTAGTACTTTTGTGTCTCTTTTTTTTAATAAATACTTAGTTTAGCATTTTTTGATAAAATTTTAATTTATTTAGAATTGGCAGTTTTTATATCCTCTTAAGTGGGCAGTGGCCTTTGGGCTTTAGAAAGTAGCATGGGCTACCATCCGATAAGCCCAGTACACTTAGCACGTTATTAGTTCTTCTTGGTCTTCCTCATCTTCTTTTCATTTTCATCTTTTCTTCTTCTTGTTCTTTGCATGGGTTACTCAGATCTGATTATCTGATTCTTCTTCTTCTCTCATCCCAATTAACCCATCAGGGAAACTATGATTGATATGGTTCTATTGGGTTAGCGATGAAGGAGAAAAAGAACGGGTATTTTTAATATGCAATGGTGAGAAAGAGGAGCTGGGTTCAAAATCAGGTGGCATGATGGGGCCCTATATTCTTAGGCATCAAAGGCTTATGCCTCTTCCACCTTCGTGCAAAAGCGCTGCGAGGCGTGCGCTTTTCCAGATTTCCGCACAACAGCCCTACGCCCATGGCATTTTCCGACTGTCTCGCCCTGAGGAGCTCCTTGCCCACGCCTTTGAAAACATTGTGCAAAATAAGCAGGAAACAACGGAAATGATGGCTGACACCAGCCATGCCAGTCTTAAAGGTCAACAATTGGTAAAAAGGAAACAATGTGTGTAATCAGTTTTGCAAGGTCGATACAATAGTTGGATAAATGAGATATGATCGTATCTGGAAATTAAGCACAAACATAAATATCATCATCTAATGTTCTATGTCCTTGAAAAATAAAATACTTACAGTCCATATCTTTACGATGCTTGGAGAGGTTATTGTTAACTTCTTGTACTCTCATTTCCAACATATTCACCTCCTTCTCTGCTTCGCGAGATTTGGCACTCAAGTCATCAAACTCCTTGGTAGCAGCCCTGGAATACGAACATATTGAAACAGACCCCAAACAATGAAAACCTCTAACAAAAATCTTGAAACCCCTTAGAAATCCAAAATCTTTAGTTCAAATGAGATGAAGCAAGACTTAAAATCTGAGAGTCAAAACTCAGTTGCTTGATCTTGTCTTTACAAGTACAACAATTGGCAGAAACCATAAAGGCACATATGGCTGTGCACTAGAATCTGAGATGATGACAGAAAACCACATATCTAGCAATAGCACTACATGTACTATCAATGTATCATGAAATGATGAAGTTTCGGGCTTCTGTCGTCATTTTTCATGTTCGTAGTAGAAATAAATCAATTGTTCTCATAATACTGACAATTACGTATTAGAACATATCAGTCTTCCAATTACTTTAAACACCTTCACAAATTGTATCTGACGAAGATAGCTACTATCACCTTCGCGCATCCTGTTTGTAAACATTGGTTTCATTGAAAATGTGACATGGTACAAAGGACTTCACAACAGTTAACTCCAAAAAGCATAGAAACACCAAAGTTTCCATTAATCATACTATGACCTCACATTTGAAGCAACTGTGTCAAGTTGTGGTTGAAACTTGAAACCCCCAACTATGAAAAATCCCTTTCACAAATCACAGGCTAGACTGACTTTCAAACAATAAATCATTCTGCTTAAAACTGATATTCCCGAAATTCGATCAACAGCTGATTATAATCTATATACTAATTATGCCAAACATATTTACTCCTCCACTGCAATCCAACCTTCTGTTAAGCGCACCCCTCAAGTGTCTAACCAGAGTCAAGTAACTGATGGCAATAGTAGCTAAATCTTCTCAATATGTATCTCAGAAAAAAAAAATGCATGGAAGTTGTTCTGACAAGTTGATCATGATAATGGCGTAAGTTGAGTTAACAAAAGGAATAATCACCGAAAAGGCCATTATTCAGTGTGTGTGGCACTATGTAATAGACTGTCTGTTGTGTAAAAGCAGTATAAGTTTATATGAATGTAAGGAAATACAGACAAACTATTATGCCTTTGGAGCATAAAAAAATAAATAAAAGAACACCAAAAGGGAATGGAAATGACATTCATTGACACTGAATATAGCTTGACATGTGAAACCAGAAGCAAAACAACCAAAATGTGGCTTGACATCCAATTGCATGATAAAACATTATGCACACTCAATCTTATGATTCCACATTTGGGGTCACAACAAAAGCGGACTTTTCATAAGATGTCATGACATAGAATAAAAAATAAATACGGGACAACCTCAAGACTTGAGTGATTTCCTTGTTGAAATCCTTCTCAGGAGGAAGCCTCCCCTTTAACATTCCTCTAATTCTGTCCTTGTATTCATCAATTCTGGAAAAAATAATAAAGAAACATCATAATCTTTGAACATGAATATATGATGAATAACACAAGAGCGAGAAAGAGAAAGAGAGGATGCTGGGGGGAGGGTGGGAGAGAGAGGGGGA